GACCTTAAAAAAATTAGCCTTTTACAAAACAATTAACTCAAAAGTGCTAGAAGAAATTGCTACTCCTTTTTGAGATCCACCACTATGAGCCGAGTGAAGGTTCTTCAAGAGTATCTCACGCTTTTTGTTTACTGAAGTCCAGACTTCATCACAGACTTTTTTTTTTTTGATGAGGGAGGTGATTAAGTTTTTATTTATTTATTTATTTAATGGAGGTACTGGGCATTGAACCTAGGACCTTATGTATATTAAGCAGGTGCTCTGCCACTTGAGCTACACCCTCCCCACCAGACAGCAGGCTTTTAAAAGCCCCCTTCAGTAATAATAATGTGCAGCTGGGTTGAGACAGCAAGTAATTGAAATAGTGATCTGCTTGCTGTCTCAGATCTCAGGCAGGAGGAGCCATCACAGAGCCCAGGACACATGGGCAGAACACACACCACTGAGAAAGTGTTCACGCTATCGACCGATCACTTTCCTAAGGAAACAAAACGTATGTACTGAAATTTTTGTGCACGGATGTTCATTCACGGTAGCACCATTTATAGCAACCCCCAAATTAACCCTAATGCCTGAAAAGAAAAAAGTGTAACTGAAGGATGTCACATTACAGGGTGCTATGCATCGTCCAAAGATTGTAGATTATTTAATGTAACAGGAAACTAATCAGAAAATGTCGTTGGCAAATAATATATATGCCAGAACTCCATTAAAATTGTTAGATAATACCTTCATATGGTCAAAGAATCAATCAAAACACTAAAACTTGCCTTAAGAAATCTTGCTTCAGTGAGGTATCACCTCACACCAGTCAGAATGGCCATCATCAAAAAGTCCACAAACGATAAATGCTAGAGAGAGTGTGGAGAAAAGGGAACACTCCTACACTGCTGGTGGGAATGTAGTCTGGTGGAGCCACTGTGGAAAACAGCATGAAGATTCCTCAAAAAACTAAAAATAGACTTACTCTATGATCCAGCAATCCCACTCCTGGGCATATATCCAGAGGCAACTCCAATTTGAAAAGACACATGCACCCCAATGCTCACAGCAGCAATATTTACAATAGCTGAGACATGGAAGCAACAAAATGTCCAACAACAGATGACTGGATAATGAAGTTGTGGTGTATGTGTACATAGTGGAACACTACTGAGCCATAAAAAGAACAAAATAATGCCATTTGCAGCAACATGGAAGGACCTGGAGATTATCATTCTAAGTGAAATAAGTCAGAAAGAGAAAGAAAAATATCACATGATAGCACTCATATGTGGCATCTAAAAAAAGAAAAAGGAAGACACTGTAATGAACTTATCTACAAAACAGAAAAGACTCACAGACATAGTAAACAAACTTATGGTTACCGGGGGAAAGGGGGTGTGAAGGGACAAACTGGGAGTTCGAGATTTGCAAATATTAACTAGTATATGTAAAATAGATAAATAACAAGTTTCTACTGTATAGCACAGGGAACTATATTTAATATCTTGCAGCCAGCCATAATGAAAAAAATGTGAAAAAATATATGTATGTATATGTATGACTGAAACATTATGCTGTACACCAGAAACTGACACAACACTATAAACTGACTAGACTTCAATTAAAAACTGAAAAAAAGAAAGCAAAACAACTATGTTTATATAGTTTACAACAACATGGTACATGCATATTGTATAAAGTAAATGCATATATGTAATGAAAATCCACATATACTATAAGACCATGTTTGATAAACATTTTAAAATGAAAGATACACATATCGCAAATCAGAAAGACTTGAAGAAATAAACTGCTGACTTACATACATTTCTGGACATCCAAAATTTCTATAATAAACTTAAACTGACTTTTTAAAAGAATTTAAATAATATAAGCAATTTGGCCATAATTATGTAAATTATAAACGCAAAAGTAGGAGGAAACAGACGAAGTTGTCACCACTGATGCTGCGGCCTACTTTGAAGGACAGTGATCTTTTCTTTTTGTTCTCTGCACGTTTGTGTAACAAGTGTGCATTCCTCTCATCACCAGGGAAGGGAACTAAAGAAAGGAGTGGTGAGGACGGCGAGGGAGCAGGTCAGGATATAACCTACTCACCTACAGAAGCTGCCAGCCCCACTGTTGTTTTAATCCTGCCAGATAACACACTGCAAAAGGGCATTTTTTTTCCTTAAGAAAATGTCTGGTGGGGAGGCTATAGCTCAAGTGGTAGAGCACATGCTTAGCATGCACGGGGTCCTGGGTTCAATCCCCACTACCTCCACTAAACATAAATAAACCTAATTACCTCCCCATCACCACTATCACAATAAAGTAATTAAATAATATAACAATAAATAAGAAATAACTAAAAAAAAAAAAAAAGAAAGAAAATGTCGCCTGGATTACAGTCAAGAACAAATCCGTACAGGAGAATGAAAGCCCGAGAAACTTAAGAAAAGATTGTGTCCCACATCTCAACCCCATAAACGTGACATAGCTCAGGATAAGAGTGTGGTAAGATAAACAGATAAAGGTATAGCGATTGGAAGGCTTCACTTTCCAGCCTATTAAACTGCTGAAAATTATGGAGACGCAGGGTTCTTCTTACATCAAAAGGAGTCTAAGGGAGATGGTCATACCAGGTCTTCCTGTTTCTGGTCTGTTGCTACCCAGCTTCCCAGGACCCCAGGGTTGATCTGATCAAGTCTTCACCCTGCTACACCCTTCCTCTGAGGATAAAGTCTGGAGGGCTCAGGCTATGAGACTGTCTGTGATGTCCCACCGCCTCCCCGCCTTTCTTGTCTTCATTCACTCTCCACCTAGAGTTCTATGACCCAGTCTTACAGTCTGGTTTGTACCCCACTCTTCCTGGCTGACTCCTGCTCGTCCTTTTGAGCTCAGCTCTGCTCAGGTACCACCTCTTCCAGGAAGCGGCTCCTACCCGGGAAGTCAGGGATGGACGTGCCTCCAGCGGCATTCTAGGAGCGCCAGCTGGTGCTCCCTCTCACAGCTCCTCCTGCCCAAGTTGTGGCGTGTTATTTATTCCTTGTTCTCTTTCTAGACACTGGTAACAGTTCCTCGAGTGATGAGACTATGCGTTATTGATCTTTGTAATCTCAGGTGTTTGTCGAATGGATGAAACAGAAAGGAATGAGTGGA